TATAAAAGATTTCATTTCTCGTGTTGTGAAAACAGCAGAAGACACAAGAAGAAACTTCAGAAAATTTTTTCCAGAAAGGGAAAAATTTTATCAAATAGAAAGCTATTACAAGAAAATAAAGCTATTGTTAATGAGATCGATAGAAATTCTGAAATAAACGTATTTATTGAAGACACAGACAATAATATTAGAAAAACACTTTATAGCATGAACATTTTTGAAGTAAAAAAAATAAAAGAAATAATTAATATAACTAATAATCACACAAAAGAAAAAGCTTCGTTATTGCAAGTTAGTAACAACTTGGATTGAATTAAAACAAAAAAGAATGAGATGAATACATTATTTGTATAATTATCCAGTGGGCATGTATATCTTTATAATTTTACCAATTTTTTTTTAATGGTTCGGATAATATAATTAATATATTATAAGGTCTATTGGGTATAACATAAAGATAAATAAATTATTCTGAAAATGAAATTAATAAATTGGAAAAAAAAGTGTATAATATATTAAATGCCACTGTTATTGTTAATTAATCTGATGGTGAAGAGAAATTACTAGTTGATAAAGAAGAACAAAAAGAGAAGTTATATGGAAAAGAAGTTCCAAAATTATGTCAAGAACAAAATAACTCGAATGAAATTAATTTGAATCATGGTATCAGTAATAATGAGAATAAAAATTGATTTAATCCTAAAGCAGAGGTGAAAGGATAATGGTTATATAAGAAGCAGGATCTATTGGGGATATATCTTTTAGTTATGATATCTCATTAATTGCATATAAGCAGAATAAAGAGGAAAGGATTGGTGATGATTATATAAATAAAACATTTGTGACTATTGCTGCTTATAATAAGGATTAAAAAAAAGAAGTTACGGATGTTTTTTTTGACAACAGTTATTATTGTGATTAAAAGAATACATAATTAAGTATATAGAAATAGAAGTATATTTTAAAAATCGTATTAAATTGGATGTTTATGAAAATCTATTTTTATAAAGTCTAATATATTAAGATGTACACAAATGAATAATTTATCCAAATAAGAACAGAAAAAAAATATTAATTTCATAAGCATGCACAAAATAATTGTAGTATATAAGTGAATATTATATATATGTTATATTTACTGAATATTTTTAACATATTATAATGGATAGAATGATTCACATATGATAGAAATTTATCATGCACATAGCTAATAAAAAATAAAACAGGAAAAATTGAGTTAAATAAGTAATTTTTTATATATAGTATATCATTAAAAAAGTAAAAATATATTAATAAGTTGAAACATTAATACTAAAATAAAAAATACGTTTAATATATAACCAAGAACTAAATATTATGACAAAAACTGTGAAAGAGGAACGAAAAAAATAAAACATTAACCCTAAAATTAAGTTCTGATACCTAAACCTGAACATCTAAACTAAAATACAAATTACAATAAATTACAATTATTCTCATTATAGCATTTATAATTTTTTTGGAATACATTATTTCTTTTAAATATTTATTAAATATGAAGAAAAAAGAATATACAACAACTATGAAAATTATAGGATTTATGTAATACTCGGAAATTGCAATAAAAGAATTCTCATATTTCCCCATATGTTTTTAAACATTGAAGAACGCATTGCAAGAACCGATTTTTTTTATTAATTTTAAAAGATAGTAAAATTTAAAATGCGTTTATTTAACTATTAAAATGGAATAATAGTAAAATAATATATTATTGTAATAACAAGAAAATTTAACATTGAAAGTACATTATAAATTATTCAATAAATTTTTTTTTTATCCTAAAATTCATTTTTCATTAGAAACATAATGTTATACTATTGAAAAAATATATATCATAAAGAAATAAAACATAATATATTAGAATTATTCATAAGAAGTACATATTATATAACTAATAATTGCATGTTTAATACATATTTGTATACATGAATATGGAAATTATGACACAGTTTCACCATAGTAATATGCTTATAGAATATTATAAACGATAATCAATATATATACATCTATATTTAGAGAGAATAAATGTATGTGTTAATATGTGCAATTATAGTATAAAAATTATGGTATTTCCTGTTATTTATAAATATTTATAGTATAATATATTATATATATTATTATAATTTAAATATAAAGCTCTTTAAAAATAATATATATAATTCTTAATATATAAATTATTATGTAAATGCTGTAAAATTGTGAATTATCTAAAAACGAATGTTCAAAAGATAAATATATGTATAAGCAACAAATTAAATCATATAATTTTAACCTAAATTTAAATTTTCGAAAGGATTAGTAAAATAAACATTTGTACTTGATATATATGCTCTTAATTCTAAAAATTAACTGTAAGTATAAAATATTGTAGCGTAAGAGTGAATAAAAAAATTTAATTTATTATATATTAGTATTGATGAATTATTACAATAAATTTTTAGTTATAGAAGATTTTTACATTATAATAAAATAAATATTATAATAATAATGCAATTGATAGTTGTACAATAAATTGTGGATATACATAGTTTATATAGTTGATATATATATTGATATAATATTATCTGCATTATTCCGAATATTTGAATTTATGATACCTTAAATGAAGGATTAATGTACACATAATAATATAATATCCATATTTATATACTAATAGTTATACAATAGTTAACAATGACAATAGATACTGTAATACAAGAATTAAAAAGTGTACGTATTAATTACAATAATGAATAAACACACTTAATTATATAATAATTATAATTAATTTTCAACATCATGATTCTTTATGCAATTGCATATAGAAATTAATAATACTATATAAATTTATTTTTCAAAGAACTAAAAGCTTACTTACATGTTATATTGCTATTATATTTTTCTATTTTATCCTGTTTTTTAGGGTAAATGCAAAAGTGTTCCTTCTATACAAGAATTATTTAATGCATGGAATAGAGATACTAATATTGGTAGTTCTTCGTTTATGAAACATATGCAATTATATGGTTCAATAATGATTCAAGCTTCTGAACTGTTTAAAATTATTTGCTTTGTAAAAGATTATTTGTACCATGATTTATCCAGATGTAATAAAATTTACAATGTCGATTTTTCTGATTTCAATAAATGGTTACAAGAAAAAATGAATGATAATATAAGCAAGGCTGAAAATCCAGAACCCAAAGCATTATGGGAAAAATACATTGGTACTTTATTAAATGAAATACGATATAAATTGATGGACATTAATGATTCTTGTAAAACAGGTTCTACTAACGCTGAGTGTCTTCATTCTAATTCATTAAACATCATTTTTTCTCTTTGTTTTCCACTGCTAGTGACAGTTGTTCTAACATTTTATTTTTTATTTAATGTAATATAAAAATTTATTATTATATTTTAAGAAATATATAAACTAATTTATTATAACAGAAATTATTTACATATCACATATTTTACATTAATATGCCTTTTATATATAGTTCTCTAAAATCAAAGGGTATTCATATAATTCCTATATCATTAAGAAATTATTGAGAAAATATATAGAAGATAGAAATAGTTTTAGAAATAGAGATTATGTTACATTAGACTCTGCAAAGAAAAGGATTAATATGCTTTACCTATTAAGTGAAAATTCTTAATTTATATGTAACATAAATTAGATATGATAATTTTATAATATTATGAAAATAATTCTGTTCATAGAAATATTTATATATGAAAATATATTTATGCTGAAATAAGAAACAAGAAAGTGAATATAATATAGGATTCAGGATTTAGGGCTTAGGGTTCAAGATTTTTATCTGAGGTTCATAACATATTTGTTAGTATAAATTAAATAATAAATAATAACTTTTATTTCTATGCATGAATCAGAAGTATATAGAAAAACGATTTCTTAGAATATTGTTTACGTATATTTATTAGTATGGGTACAATTATATATATGATTTTATAATGTATAATATTTCATATTTATACAAGACATAATGTAAATTAATAAAAATATATATATAAATGAAGCATGAATTTCCACAATGATAGATTACTTGTAACAATTGCATGCACACTTAATAATTTTTTTTTACTACGTGATCAAACATTCTTTATTAGTACTAATATATTAATAAAATGTTTATAGTATTTTTTTATGAGTTTTTTAAGTAAGGTTTTTTAGTATTATTTTTTAAATAAGAAAATCATTTTTTTTTATGGTCTTTATTTATGTCTTTTTTATTAGTACCTAGATTTACGTAGAATAATTTTTTTTATATATCTATATATACATGTGCATGCTTATTTATATATTTGATATTTGTATTATATGTTAAATATTATTTTTTTCATGATAGTTAATAATTTTTTGTAAAATTAAATATTATCGTTTTATAAAATAAGATATATAATATATCTCTATTTCTTTCCTTTTAGGTTTACTTACTATTAATGAAAAATATGCTGTTTATATCTTTACATATATGCATATTTGTTATGTTACTATTTCTTTTATAAAATTTTATTCCCAATATCCAATGTGTTATATTACAAATAGTATATAAAATACCACCTCTAACACAAAATATCTTTTATAAATGATATATATAGTTAATATATTAATTTATATACATATCAATAACACAGCGTATATTTTAAGCATAATATTTTTTGATCTTTAAAATTGAAAACTTGTTATATATGCATATATGATATAAATTCTTTGCATTATAATTCATTATCAAATATAAAATATAAATATTATATTTTTATCGAATAATTTGATTATATATAAATTAAAAATTAAGAATTAAATATTGTCTACATAATAATTACGACATTATGTAAATTCAATAAAAATATATAATTTTATATAAAACATTTTAGAATAATATATATGTTATATCATATTAATTAATAAAGTTATATGAACTTCTTTCACATGAATCATAATACTAATACAATATTACCGAATGTAAACAAAAATAATACATTATATATTCAATTTCTGCAATAATTAACAATATTATAAATATGTATAAATTGCATTTGTAATGAAGAATTACATGTTTAAATTATAATAGAATATTGATGTATAATATAAGTAAATAAACATACATACACACTATCCTTAATAGTTAAATTATAATAAGGTCCTCACAAAATATAATTTTTGGTGCGAAATAATATATAATATAGTTGTGTTTACTGAATTAGGTGATATAAATAAAAAATTAGAAAGAAATATTTATGATTACAATTATATTATATATGACTATTTTCATATACCTATAATTACTAAATTATCATGACATGAAATAATATATTAGCTACATTTTCAATTTTTATATTCCTTGATGTAAATAAACACACAACATTTCATGTAATATTATAATTAAGACAGATATAATTATATTAAAAAATTTTTGTATTCATTGTTGAGGTTAATATAATATAAGATAATAAACTAATAACATTTGTTTATTTTTTTGAATAGCAATTTTAATTTAAAAAAATATTATTTATTTAATATTCGATGAAATATTTCTATATTTTTACAAAATATATTTTTGCATATATTATAAAATTCATCTTATATATATCAAAATGCAGAACTATGGTAAAATATTAAGAAAAACAAATAATTATATAATTAAGAGTGCAATTATATGTAAGATATTATATTACTACAGGTTATATTATAATTCATATAAAATATTATATAATTAATTTATACGTAATTCTAATAATAATAACAAATAAAACCTAATAACAGGAATACGATGAATATTGTACGTATATACATAGAATATAATACATATAATTACTGTTATTATATTTATATACTATTTCCTCAACTATTCCTTATTGTTTAGAATTGTTTATAATTAAAAAATTTTTTTTTTATAGATATATGTAACTTACTTTAGTTATTATGCATATATTTCTAGTTCCTTTTTGCATTTATCTTCAATGTAAATTCATATAATAATTAAAAGCATGAGAAGTAAAATACATTGTCAAAGTGGATTTGTATTCCATTGTACTTTTACTATTTAATTTTTATTTTTTCTTTATGAGGTTTTTGATTTTATTTTACCTTGTAAATGCTTACAAATGGGCTTTAAACCAAAGGAAGAATATGCTGAATAATAAAAGGTTAATATTTCAATATTTGTATTAATAAAATTATTTATAACATAAAAGATATATTTATCTGGAAACAATGTTATTGTTAAGTAGCATAAAATATAAAACTTGTTTGAGAGAATTGTTTTAATTTTATCTAATAATATGAAAATAATATATAATAATATCAGTGTAGAAAGTTATAGTATTTCTAGTATTGCATATATAGATAAATTAAAGCATATATTTGATATCTCTAATAATGCGTAAAAATATATATCCCTTATTTTTCTCTCTATATAATATATACACTTTCTCAGGATTCAAATAAATTCCAGTAACTATCCTGAAGTATTTTTTAAATTTAAGAATATGCATTTGTATATTTTTGAAATTAATTTAAAAGTTAGTAGTTAATATATATTAACAATTTGAAAAGCACTCTTTAATGATTTTAGCAATACGTTAATGCAGTATAGGTAAATATTACCAAAATCTTGGTAACGAGGTGTTATTAAAAAATATAAATATTTAATAAATCTTTCTTATAATAAAAAAATGTGTTTTTTATTATACTAAATAATATGAGATGTTTTAAGATTTAACTACTTTTTATACATGAATGATGGTTGTAAAAATGTGTACGAAATAGGAATAAATAAAAATTATTCTGCTGAAAAAGAAAATATTAATCTATGATAGAATTTCATATTGTGTAAAAACATAAATAATACATTTAAGCTACTATAATCTGTCTATAGACAAGAAACATTATTTATATATTCATATTAATTTTCTGTTGCAACATTATTAGCACTTTCTTTATTTAATATTTTCAGTATATATAGACTTTATGTATTAGATTATCCAATGTCGTTTAATAGTTTTAACAATTACTTGTACACATAATTTATTCCACATATATTTTGGCTTTTATGAATATAATTCTCCTTGTACACAATACTATATAATTTATTTGCATTTATTTATAATTGTTCAAATAACTAATTAAAATAAAAAAAAATTTTGGAGATATAACTCAAATGATGTAATATATTCAAAGTGTCCTAGATATATAATGAACACAAAAAACATTCCTCACAAAATTACACGTAACTTTTCTTGATACATTTAATAAATATATATAAGGAAAGAACAATTAATTAAATATATATATCATAATACCTTATGCATTGATGTAGGTTAAATATGTTACAATTGGTATGAATATATAATAGAAAAGAAATATTTATATAAAAAATGTTTAAAAATACTTATTAAATATATAATTTACATAAGGACTATACGAATTGTGTTATAATGAAAATTTAATTAGGAATATTTATTAATATGGTACCGTAATTATATAAAAAATTATCTTTTGATAATATTTTAATAATATTCTCTCAATTGAATATTATAATATTTCTTAACTAAACAGTGCCTGATTAATATTTTAAAAATAGTAATATAATCCTGTT